GGTTTTTCTCCGGTACCGGGAACCGAACTCACGACCTTGCACTTGCCAGGCAGGCGCTTTTGCCGCTGAGCTAAATCCCCAGCCCCGTGTTTCTCTTTTCAGTTTTGGGCGTTCTTTTCTGATTAGCTCCTGAACTGGAGACACAGGGATTCTTTGCTTGCTGAGATGACCAGCTGTGTTTGTCACAGTGTTGTGAGAAGACCACAGCATTGCTAGAATCACTACTAGAATGCACAATGTCAGCCATGTTCTTTCCCCATTCCACACACTGTCGGGAGCTCCGGATCCCAGAAGGAAAGTACTCTGATGTCTTGAGAAGGTAGACAAGGGTGATCTGATCCCATTCTGACTGCTATCCAGCCTCTCCCTCATCAATCATTCCTGTGTCCAGTAATGGAGATGTTGCTGCAACATTTCCCATGATCCAACAGTTCCCATGATCCAACAGTTCCCATGATCCAACATTCCCCATGATCCAGATGTTGTTCCTTCTGCCCAAGGAAGCCACCTCTGCTCTCACTTCAAGCATCACACAACTTGCCTGAAGGAAGCCCCCCGAGGCCTGCATGAACATGACTGCATGACTGGTTCCAGCCCCATGCCTGCCTCTCTCATCAGGGAAGCTGCTCAGGAGATTGAGATTGATGATCTGCATCTAGATTTCTCACTGGATGGCAAAATTTCCAAAGTTAGACATCTGTCTTTCTAGTTTCCCATCTCTACAGCTTTATCAAGTCATGCCATGCATTTGTGGAATGAATGGCTTTCACTTGAAGCCACTTTGAAGTATATAACCCAGGTTTAAGCAATAGAAGTAAAGGATGAAAAGGCAATGAGGAAATCAAGGAGACTAGATGGATTTTTAATTGGACCATGGAATTCTCAAGCACTGGTGGAACTTGTGGCCCTAGAATTCAGTGTCTTCAACTTTAAAATATGATAGTTGAAATAATTAACTCTAAATGACAACACCAACAGGTACAGTCTGGTTCCACATCCTTAGGTTTCAGTCTACTTTTTCTTAGGTCACGAATTTTGCCACTGAAGTGGTCTTAGCCTCAACTTTGTAGCCAAAATCTTAGTGATATGAATTCCAGTAAGGCCTCTGAGTCCTACATCTCCACTTTGAATCTTTCCTTCTTGAATTTATTGGAAGGGGATGACCACAGAAATGACATAAGTCAGCTACAAGATACTGCCAGATGAAGATGCAGATTGTGTGATATCAGAATAATCTCTGCTCCTCAACTTCCTGTCACTACAGCAGTTACCTGAGATAATCAGCCCCTACAAAGAAAATGTTTATTTTGGCTCACCATTTGGAGGCTTCAGTTCAAGGCCAATGGGATCTGTTGTTTTTGGGCTTATAAAAAGGCAGCAGCAAAGTGTTCAGTTCACAGCTAGGACACAAAATACAGTGGAAAATAAAGGAGCTTCAAAAGCCTGGGGATCTCACCTCCTCAGTTTCCATTACCTCTGAACAGTACCTCAGGCTGAGGCCAAGCTGTCAGTGCACGGGCCTTGGGAGGACGCTCACCCAAACTATAGCAGATACGAAGAAAATCCTTTCTTCTTTTATTTATAAAATTTACAAATTGTGGCAGTGTATTCATCTAAATGCTTTTGAGGTAAAAGGTATCGGCAAACAGATATTTACAATATATGAGGAAGTTGAGCATCTGTAGATGTTGGTATCCAGGGGAAGAGGAACAGCCTGAAACCAATTCCCCAGATGAGGAGAGACAACATTCAGTATGTTGTCTACCTGGTTAAAGGATATATGTGTTCAACTTATAAATCTAATCACCAAGAAAAATAAAAAGCATTTCAAAAGCAGTCATCAGATGCAGACAGAATTTCCTTAGGCTCAATTCCATGCTGCCAACGGCAGGAAGAAATATGTAACTTTGGAGTGTATCGTAACCAACTTAGAAGAAAGACTTCCCTCAAAGTAAAGTCAAAGCATTTTGCAAATTAGAAGATATTTTAACTATGTGAACTTCAGGCCCATGGGGAGAACATATGCAGAACACAGCTGTCTTTACAGTGCCCCTTTTGCTATAAAGTACAGTAAAAGAGACCAATCCCTGTAGGAATGAGATATGTTCTTTTTGTCAAATGGAGTTGCACTTTCATGATTTCCCACAAAACAGCTGCAAAAATACCTACACCAGGGCATCTGGAATTCTTAAAAGTGAATTGAGGATTTGTGGCTAATGAAACCTTGTGAAATAACACTCACCATGTTGTAAAAAATACCCTTAACCATTTATTAGCATTTTTAAGACAAAAATGAAAGGTGCCTTAAGCATAATATCCTAGCTGATTAGAAGAAAATGCTAACATGACAAAGAACTAGTGTAAATAGATTCCTTGCCAGAAACATATCTAGACACATGATACTATGAAAAATCTCTGAAAAGGTACAGAGAACACTGCCGTAAAATCCCAGTGTGATGGCCATACCCTAAATGTTTGCTCAAATTGTGAAGCATAGTCAGTAATAACTTTCATGTTCTTAAAAAATGTGGTTTCCTATTGAGACCAAGCATTGTTCCCAAGGGAGAGGGGGAGAGAATTCTCTTAAGATGTTTTTCATTTTTACCTCTCACAAAACAGGACTATCAGAATGAAAGCAATGGTCTTTCCATAAGAACTTGGGTCAAATAAACCATGTATTGTTCCATCTTAAAATGAAACATCTGGCTGATTTAAGACGAAAACTAGCTTAATTATTCTTGAGCATCTAACAGAGGGAGGTTAACTTCAAAATCCATACATCTTTCCAAGCTAAACATGGATGGAAAAAAACTATGAAGTTATTTTTGACTCAGGAAAGTAGATCTGGAGGTAATTTAGTGAACACAAATTACCATTGACAAGGGAAGAAATAATTTATTCTCCTGGTGAGTCTTTTCATGAGTGGGCAGCATAGAGCTGTCAGCAGAGAGAAGGCATTTGGATGGATTTAAAATAATTGAAATCCAAATCCAAAATCCTGTAAGAGAACCCTGGTATCAATACAAACATTTTAGGCTCTTCAGAGAACTTTAATTTGTCAACTGAAGCATAATGACAAAATTATGAGATATAAGTTCAAGTGAAAGAAAGTTTGTGGGCTGGAGGTAAACAGGCTGGAGAAATAACTAACTGACGTATTTCTTAACTAATTCTTCTCCTTTAGTCTCACTTTCAGTGGATTGTCAACCTAAGGGTCTTTTCCCACTGGAATGTTTATGGATACAATGGCACCTCAGTTCACAAATTTAATTATTCTATGATTCTAGTCACAAACTGAATTGGATGAGAACAAAATCAAATTTTCTCATAAGGTCTACATTGAACCTAACTATTGAATTTGATTTCATTCTCATCCAGTCTGGTTAACATCTAGAAGTGTGGGAAGAATTAAGTTTGTGAACCAAGGTACCACTATATCTACTTGGACATTCAGCCTCATCTCTGGGGACCCCTCCCAGTGAACCCTGCCTTCGTATGGACCTTGGCTTCCTTTGCTGGTGGTCACTGCCAGACACAGTCTGCTTGGAAAAGTGCTGTCCTTTTTCTACTGGAGCATGGAACATGAGGGAAGCATTCGAGATCCTGATTTTGTAAGGGCCACACCTCCCCTCTTCTCCATTTTGATGTCACTCAAGACTGAAAGGATGATCATATTTTCCAGAAGGTACAGAGTAACTATAAGACAGTTACATTCTACAGAAGCAAACTAAAAATTGTACTCTCAATCTGTCTTCTTTCATACTTCTAGGAAGAAAACAAAATAGTTAGTGGGAAAAGTACGTTACTAAGAATGTCCTCCAGGGGGCTGGGGATTTAGCTCAGCGGCAAAGCACCTGCCTGGCAAGTGCAAGGTCGTGAGTTCAGTTCCCGGTACCGGAGAAAAACAAAAAAAAAAAAAAAAAAGAATGTCCTCCAATACACACTCAAGTTATTAACCTTGACTACCTGGCCCAGACCTCTGTACCACTTCTTCTAATCTACATGGTGTGAAGTTCCACGTATCCTTTGGAAAACCTTATACTCCTTACAGGAGGAAGGTTTGTCAGTGCACTGTATTTCCTTAAATTTATAATACTTCCCGGTCTGCAAGAAAGGAGAGATCAGCAGGGAATGGTGACTGTTGGTCTTTGACATTTGAAACCATGTTGAGTCAAATGCACATGCTTACCTGGATCACAAAGACAAACTTTAAATCTCAGAGAACCTCATCTCAACCTGGAGAAAGAGGATTAATTATCTACCTGTCTCATGATTTGTAAAACTGTCTTTCTTGTAGTATTCAAAGAACTTTCAATAACTTCCTCCTTTGCTCTCTTTATCACCCATTAGGAATAACCATACATTCTTTGGCAGGAATATCCACTTAACTACACAGATATTTACCTGTCATCTTGAGGATATCAAATAATTCAAATTTGTATCCAAGAGTCATCATAGACAGTATCTTAGAAATACCTGAAATTATTTTGTTGATGTAAATTCCAAAGCCATCTATCAGTCATGTTACCTGAGGAGAGGTGCTTCATCATATGGATAATCTAAAATATTGTATGTTTCTTAACCTAATGATGTACATAAAATGGAAGTGAGATGTGTTAAAATACGAAAATCTAATGTAATACAAAAAGAACACTAAAGCTCTATTCTAAAGCTCAAATGAAGCAATGGAACCACTGCATAATTGCAATGACTCTTTACTGTGACATGGATATTGCTAGGGATTGACGTGATCTTACCTCATCATTCAGAAAATTCTGTAACTTAGCCAAGTCCTATTTTCAGTTTTGTGATTCTTTGACTCTTTCCTGGAAGAGGGGTGTGTGTGTGTGTGTGTGTGTGTGTGTGTGTGTTTAATCCTTACATGAATGTACCATGTGAGAGAAATGGATGGTCATGTCAACTTTAAGAAGAAATCAATAATAAATTCATGGATTAATTTATTTTTAATTATATTCTCAAAGATAAGTGATGTAACTAAAACCAAAGATGTTTGGATTTTATCCAAGAGCTGAACTGACAATAACTTGGGAGCTCAGACTACTAAGATAAATCCAAACCAACCAAATGACTTTAGTATTACACTGTTCAACAAATCTCACAAATGAAGATTTGGATTCTTTTAAAGGATAAGAACATTGATTCTGAGCCATGGTTTTTAGTTGTTCTGTTTGTTCAGTAGTCATTCCAAGAACTGTTTGGGAATTCTCCATTTTAAGTCCTATGGAAAAAAATAGATATTCATTATCCAATACATATTTGATTATTGGGAAGGGGGTGGAAGCTTATATGGAGTCATGAAACCAAATCACACAGTTTCACATCAATTCACTTATGAAATTAAATCCAGGATACAGAAGCCACTGAGTCTGGAAAGAATCTTCTAGAAGATGAGAAGAGAATCTTCTAGAGAATCTTCTAGAAGTAAGAGGACTTTCTAGATAGGATGTCAGAAACTTGGTGCTGAGGCATAGTCGTGTTTATGGGAAAGAAAAGTCATACACACTCTTTGAAGATATATTTACTGCTTTAAGGTGGGGGGGTGGGTGACATGACAGAGCTAAAGCCAGAGAAAAGGAGGCTGAGGGTGTGAACAAAATTGTGCCCTGCATGGGATAGAAATAAGGAACATCTGCAGAATAATAGCAAATTCCTTCATGAACAGAACATACATAGCTTTAAACTCAATGCCAACTAGACCACATTGTTTTCAAAATGCTGTTTACTATTAATTTTTATTCTAAAATCAGTAAATTCAGAAACTGCTTCAAAGCAGAAAGGAAGGGAGGGAGAAAGGAGTGTGGCCTTCTTCTACAACCGCCATTTTAAATCTCAGTCACAGAGCTTTACCATTTCATTTCTACTGAGAGAATGAAATATAACTCCCAGGCCTGCTAGACATTCAATTTTGCCCATCCTTTAAACCAAATGAGTGTAATATTCATAAGTGCCATTTTTAAAACAACCAAATAGACTAAGTATCCTAGTTCCTTCTACTGCTAAAGGAAGTCAAAGGCAAACCTAAAAGGAAGTTGGAAATGGTTATGCACCCATCCAACTAGGATAAGAGAACTAACAGGCATCCAATTGGCCTACAAGCTTGGCTGATTTCAAAAAGAAAATCAGAGGCAAGAATGATGTTTATACTTAACATTTGAAATTAAAAGTGCGCTCTAAGAACAAAAGGATAAGGATAGGTAAATTTTTTAAAAATTAAATTTATCTTCTATCTAACCAAAGACATGAAAACAAACTGAAGGCCTACAACCCATCCCCACAGAACTAATGCCATGGAAGAATAGGCCCCTATTCCTACCGTAAGCAGGAAGCAGGGAGGAGTAGGAGGTGGAGAGAAATAGGAAGTAGCTCACGCAACAGCATCTAGAATGGCCATGGCTTTCATTCATCATTCTTCCTTGACTCTTTGTTACTCTCTCCCTCCTCCCTTCTTCTCTTTCTCCTCCATCTTTTTCTTCTTTTCAGGCTGTCCTCTGACACGGCATTGGACTACTGTGTTCTCTACTACCCACTACTGAAACTCAACAAGCATAATTCAACTACCTCTTCTGCTCTCAGGCTAAAAAAGAGGTTTACCTGGAAAGCAGGATTCCAGCAGTTTCAGGAAAGAGTGGTGAGAGATGCTATTTCAAGATCTGGTGTTCACCTCTCTGAGTCATTAGATGACTTTAGTCAGTGGAAGTGAACTATTTCTTGGTATCCCTTAAAATACCATGATTTATAATATCAACAGGAATTTGTATACATGCCCTTTAGTAAATCAAAACATGAAAACATGCCCGATGACTCAGTCCATTTGTGATTTTTTTTTTTACCTTTTTTTTTTTTCTGGTACCGGGAATTGAACTCACGACCTCGTGCTTGCCAGGCAGGCGCTGTGCCACTGAGCTAAATCCCCAGCCCCCCATTTGTGATTATAGCAATGGGTAGCTATTTTGCAGTGTAAAGGAAATACCAGTTATATTCTGAAAAAGTAAAAAATGCTGCTCTTGCTGCTTAGTTTAAGTCTTCTTCATTCTCACTGGAGAATCAGTTACCTGTATTTTAAACTCTCAGGTCTCACAAGTCAACAACTAATGCTACAGCAAAGTTCTTATGGGCTCATTGGGATCAGTACTAGTCTACCTACATTGAGGATGGGAGGAAACATGTGAACCATCAAGTTTTCTGAATATAATCCTGTCATTTCCTGTCAAGTAACCCAGTAGAAACAATAATGATGACAATGAAACAATAAAAAGTTGTTTGAGGGAATTGGTGCTGAGAATAGAAAGGTAACTGGGTGGCACCACCACATAACAAACCTGATGTTAACACTGCTCAGACCACTGACTTGAAAAAATATACTTGTCAAATAATCTCAAACTTTTTATACCCTTGCTATGTAACCAACAGTAAATATTCACCTATACAACTCTTTTGTGTGTTGTAGGTACATATTAGCGTTTGTTAAATTGAAAGAAAGTCATCCATACAACCTAGATCTTACCAAAATCTTCTCTAAAGGTAATATATAACTATATGAAATGTTCCTGAATGACATGAAAACTAACATGATTGTACCCTTCAGGGTCCAACTGGAGAAACAGAAACTACTCTGGGTATGTAAACAAGACAGAATTCAGTTCTTTGCATAGATGGTAGAAGCTGAACCAGGCATAATGGTACCACCCACACGTGGGCAAAAGCAGGCTATGGATGGAGGCTGGAGAGATAAAGAAAAGGCATAATGATGCAATTCAAGGGTCAAGGTCACAAGAGCCTGTAAGAACCATGGTAGTTCTGGGGGACTGGAGGTTGAACATCCTGCCCAAGGGAAAGAAGAGGGAGAAATATCTTGTTTTCTGCCTTTTTTTCTACTCTGACTCCTTCCAGTGCCTCTCCTTAGCCAAACCCTAAAGAAAGACAATTGACAAAGAGGCTTGGGAGACTCAGCCAATAAGGATAAACCTACCCTGACGTTGAGCAAGTCTAAGTGGCTGGGGAAGAAGGTACAGATCCAAGAGAAAATGACCCTGGCCTAGCTCACTGATACAGTGTTAGCTTCCTGACCATTAACACTGAGTGGTAAATAAATTCAGAAAAGAAAAAGGGAATGTTCCACCTGATATAATGTAAGGATTCAATGCACTTTTATGTGTCATATATATATATATTTACATCTATGCATTCATATCAAGATGACTTGGGACTGGGGATTTAGCTCAACAGCATAGTGCCTGCCTGGCAAGTGCAAGGTCATGAGTTCAATTCCTGGTACCAGAAGAAAAACAAAACAAAACAAAACATATCAAGATGACTCAAACTGTCATGGAGATCATATGCAAAATTGGGAATAAAGACATTTGAAATGGTGTCAAGGGATTTTGGAGTTACTTCCCCCTATTTCCTACGTAATCAAAGGGGTTATCTGTGCATATATGGGGCCTTGTTGGAATCACCATCCTGAATCCAAGGCAAAATTGGCACTCCACAGAAAGCATATTCCCCACCTACCTATTCTTCACAGGTTCTTTTAGCAGTTCTTACAGGCTTTGATGCCTGGACTGTGGCTAGATCACAACACTGAGGCAACTGGTAAGTGGGTGCCATGCCAGGGCTGACTTCACCACGACGATATCAGAGCTGGGTTGTGTGCTCGCTTCAACATGCTGATGCCAAGGCCAGCCTGTTCTTCCAACCTTCTCCATCTGTTACCTGAAATGATTGCCCAACATTAAGCAAAGGATGAAGGATTATTTAAAACCCTAGTAGACTAGTTTCTCAGAAACAGCTGCTCTGAGTAAGCACTTTAGAGCATGTGGCACAGTTGAGGCAAGATTTGAGTGGCAGACTGATTCTAGCTTCAAATCGGACTTCTTTTGCTTGCCAACTATATGGCACTAGGCATTTCAAGCCTGCCATCTGTACAGTGAGAAGAATGAGGCTATTATTAAGGATATGACACACACATCAGCTTAAGGAACTCTAGCATCCAGTGAGTGTTCAACAAATGACAGCCCCTGCAAGTACGGATGCCCAGCAAAGATTAATTCTGATCATAACGATGGTCCATGGAAGAGAGAGTTTTGCAAAGTGGAATTTCGGCCACTGAAATAAAGTTACAGCTTAAACAACAAAATCAGTTGCATATTTAATGAAGATGTTCTTTCTTTGCTTGAGACAAAACATTTCCAGTTTATTTATTTGGCAACTGACATGTGACCATGTTTCCTGTACTCTCAGATGAGGATCTTGACCCACGATGTCATCAGACCCTACAAAGGAACTTTCCAAAGTGGGTCCATAAATAGGTGGCACTAGCAGTGCTGTTACCTCTCCTCTCACTGGTACTGAGAAAAACTAATGTTAGATACTTTTCACTTTGAACATACAGAGTGTGCCTTACTGTGCCTTACTATCCGTAAATGAATTAAAGTGTTATTATTCCCTGTTGTAAAAATTTAAAGACCATTAATTTCAAATGAGGCAAATATTTACTAATATGGCATTTTCCTGTTCTTAAATCTAAATATTTGTCTTCCCTCCCATTCTTTTTCTTTAGCTTCTCTGCCCTTTTACAATCAATTCCTTCTCCCTTACAAACTGTCCTGCACAGGGCTGGCTCACCATAGGACAAGATGTATTTCCATCGACTGTTTAAAAATATGATTTATATTCAAGTAATTATTTTAAGGATTTGTTATTTCAAAGTTTGAGAAATCTTCACATGAGAAGAGCCCAAAAACTAGGCAACAGTTTTTCTTTCAGGGCGTATGTTGACATATTCAGCAAGTAACTTCCAAAACACTATGGGATGTTTGAGGTTATTTTTCTATCTAGACAATGTGTGTAGCTTGAAACTCATATTTGTGCAATGTGTTTTCTTAGATTGGCTTGCCAGGTGACCAGAATAAAAAGCAGGTTCTTAAAAATTACCTCCTCCAATGTCTATCTCCCCTAGTCAAGGGGCTTCAGTGCATTCCAACAGTATAGTTTTTGTTTTAACGCCCTGTGTGGCCTTGCTCAGTTTAGATTTGAACCCAGTTCAAAAAAGCACAAGTCCAGAAAAGGATTGTGCAAGAGTTCGATGTTTATGCTATGCTGTACGTTCTTAAGAATACTAGCCATGTAATCCATAAACATTAATTTAAGTTTTATGAGATTACCAATCAACTTTTCAGCAAATACTACAAATTTCAAGGCAAAAATGGAGAAAATACTAAATAAAGCAATGCTTTCCAAAGAGTTTATATAACAATGAGCACAAGTTCATTTATCAAATGAGTGATGCAGACATTCCTGAAGCGTCCGCTTTGGGCATCGCACTGTTGCTAGGCGCTTGGAAGAGCACAAAGTGAGCAAGACCTAACTGGCACTGCACACTACAGGCGCTGCTCCTCCTATGGCTTCGCTGTGTCTGATTTCAAGGTGAAAATCGGTTTACTGGACCATGAGAGAAATTGAGAAGTCAGGAGTCACTTTGGAGCTTTGTCATGAGAAACAAAGAGGAGAGTTGTTGTTCACCAAAGTGAGAAAGACTGAGGGCACTGAAAATGCAAGCTCATGTTTGAGATGCACAACATAGACAGTGACTACTAAAGCTCTACCTGGAATGTGGAGGCAGAGAAACAAGCCTAGGGTAGCAGCCTGCCTCCATCCCTGGAGCCATCTTCTGCGTTTCTGTGTTGTTCTGTATTGGTTTGTAGTGCTAGAAGTGAACATGTTATGCAAGTGCTCTTCCATTACCCATACTCTCAACCCCCACTTGTTTTTGAGACAAGGGCACCCAGGCTGGCCTTGAACTTGTGATGCTCCCGCATCCACCACCATGCCTGAGTCAATACTGTCAACTTCAATTTAAGAAATCCCTTTTAACCTGTCTTTTGTTCCCTATCATTACTCTCTCCTGATGTCCTAAAAGTCTTCACCCTGGTCAACTGCAACCTCATTTTAATCAGTACTTCTGCCTTTCTTCCATCCACAGTCCAAACAACTGTTACCAGATTAATCTCAAAATGCTAACCTCTGGTCACTCATCTGATCAGAAAAATCCACAAGCATTCAAATTTCCTTGACAGATTCCAATGTCCCCAAAAGTAAGTACAGACAGTGCCCAGAGCAGATTGTGTGGCCCACATGCCAAAGGGTGTCCCTGTATAGATCTGGGCAAAGCCCTGGATTCTGTATTTATGAAACAACTCAGAGCTCATGTCTGAGATGTACTGAGGTTGAGGGTAGGGATCTCTTGCCTTAGCTGACCTGAGGGGCTCTGTGCAGGATTAGAGGGTCTCATGCTCTTAAAGAGCAGGGCAGCACCAGAAGATCAGCAATGCTCGGAAGATCAGCAGTGACAGAGTCAGTACACAAAATCACATGCTTTTTGTTTTTAAAGCTGGCTGTGGCTCACCACTAAGCGAGTAAGGTAAACGACTCATCTTCTCTGTGGTTAAATTAGCCAATATGTGTATGATGCTGGAAGTCCAACTCTTCAGTTAATAATTCCTGATCTTAACTCCTTCCACAGGCTAAGAACCTAAAGTCTCAGTAGGTTTAATGAATGCTCATAGGACATTGAATTAGGCCATGGGAAGGAAGGCTGGGGTCCAAGTCCTGGCTGTTTTCAGCACCTATGCCAGCTTCTGCAAGAAGCCCCAGGTTGGAACTTTTAGATTTCTGTGGAAATGCATTGAAAAGTTGGCCTTACTTTTTCAACCCTCTCCTCAGTTCTCTCCTTAATTCACTCTAATCAGGTTTTACCTCATTATTTTATTTATCGTTTTCTAGTCACTAAGGAACAAAATCTTGTTCTACCAAACAGTAACTTCTCCATCCTCATCTCAATTGATCTTTCAGCAACACTGGACATGACAAATCACTTCCTTCTTTTAAAAGTGCTTTTTGATACTTTCATTCTCAGACATGATCTCCATATCTATAAAATTACTTGGTGTACACATTAGTTTTGCCACTGCTTACACACAAAGTCAACACCCACAATTTAAAGAAGAACGGTTTGATATAGCTCATGGCTTCAGCAGGCCCAGTATCAGATGCAGAGGCTCCAAGCAGGCACAGCATGGAGGAGGCATGTGAAGGAGCAGGGTGCTGAGCTCACAGAGGCTGGGAGTAGAGCAGGGAGCAGCACCAGAGAGGAAATGGGAGGAATCTGAGGCCAAAGCCCCAGGACAGACCCACACACACCCAGAAGCATGCTCTGCTAATCACTGGGCATTTCTTCACCCAATAAAATTGATATGTCGGGATTAATGGCACACTTGTTCAAAGAACATCTCAAACATAATCTTCCCAAGAGACATCTAATTTTCCTCCACTAAAACTTTGGTCAGTTTGAATTGGAGAAGTCAAAATACAGCATTGAATACCTCAAAGTCAGTGGAACAGGGAAGTAGCTTCTGTCCATCAACATCATGTTTTACCATTGATTAGATATGGCAGGAGCTGATTTGGCATAAACAGCACTGTGAAAGATTTTAATATATAGCAGCTCTATGACTCATTTTCAAAGTTGAAATTCCCATTACACTTGTATTATGTCTAAGACACCTCTCTACATATAATGTAAGACAGGTATTTTATTCAGAAGTAGTATATTGAAATTGATCTGATGTCCAAAGAAAAGCTGGGCTTTCAGGAGAGAAATGATGCCAGAGCCTGATCTTGTCCTATTATCTGCTGACTTGCAATTAATATGAAGATACAGCGACAATTTCATGGGGTTACTATCTAAGACAGAAACTGGCCTCGTGGGAAATGAAACAAAACCACAGACAGGAAGTGGGCACCTCTTTCCTTCCTTCAGGGAAGTACCCAGTTGCCAGTTGCTTCACTCTTAACTTTTGGGGTCCACAGAGTCCTCCTCAGCTGTTGCTCTCTCCAGCCAAGCTTGCTGTGTTGGCATACAGCCCACCCTTTCAGCCAGTGCCAAATCCATGCCACACTCATTTCAGTTGCTTGGTTTGGATCCCAAAAGGGAGGAATCAGACTGGATGCCAGGCACTGGTGACCAGTTAACCTCAAGTCAGATGCCATCCTGGGGCCAGAAGACTGGGACTGAGTTTTTCAGACTTGAATGTCTGGACTCATAAGGGTCCTGAGGCCGGGCATTTCTCAGTGAAAGGGACTATTTTATAGTAAATTTCAACCTACTGTGGATTGTATGATTGCAAACAGCGAAGAAGAACGTTCTCTTCCTGATAAATACTCCCTAAGAATAAGGCTTACCTATCATGATTAAAGACAAACGACAGGAATAGGCATAAATGCGCTGAGGTAAGGAAGGAGACAGAAATGAACCGGAAAAGTGGGAATTGATGGAAGAGAGCAGAATTGACCAAGGGAAATGTCTGCCTGAGCAAGCATGCATATGCGAGACTGTAGATTAGTCAAGGAGGAATGACTCAGTTTTTATAGAAACAAAAATTTAAAAGGACAAAAAAAGGAAAATATTGGTTGGACTGCAGCCAGTTTCTCAGCCCCAGACATCTGGAGCTGAGACAGGGGAAGGTGAGGAGCCGTCCCTGCGGCAGCTCCTGCCCGCTGCTGGGCTGGTTACCGGGGATATTTACATTAAATTAACGTGGCTGGCTAGGGCTGTGTTCAGCACTTGGATATGCGGTTAAATAATCAGTGTGGTTTGGCTGCTGGTTGCTTTGCTGTGGTTAAATAATTGGTGTTGTCTTGGTTGCGAGCTACTTTAAAATGTATATGTGCACTTGTTTCTCTCTCCCTGTTTCTTCCTCAGGAGCAATTCTGACAAGCCCAAGGCAGAACGGTGGCTGACCAGCTTTTAAAGGAGCACTCCCCCATTCTGTATGCTTCCCCTGCATGCTTCTCCAAGCTTGAGATTCTCAGAGACTTTTCTTCCCCATACCTCGAAGGTCTTAGAAAAAATTCAGTTCTCTCCTTTTGCTTATGGAGTACAGATAAGGCTGCAGTTTCCAGAAATAAGCTCCACTTTTATAACAAGGATTCCCTTACTTCTGAGACTCACCAGGAGAACAGGGAAAAAAATGATTTGGCCCATCGGATGAAATGACCCTCCATGCAGGTGTTTTTCCCTTGTAGCATTCTTCGCTGGACCTGTTGAAGCCAGAAACAGTTCCTGAAGCACTCATATATGCTCAAGACTTGTTCAATGAATGAAAGATAGTAGCAATACAATTCATAATTCAATAAAGATGTAGCTCCTACTGCAAAACATTGCTTCATTCTATCACATCATTGATCTGTTTAGTAGTCATCACACTGCCAAACTGCTTTGCCCTGGGCCCTAGGAAACCTCTGCTTTCCAGATGGCTCTGTCTCTCCCCATAGCCCCAAAGTCACCTCTAACCCTAGATAGAAGAGGACCAGGGCAAGTAGCCCCTCTCCTAACAAACTGATGGGACACTGGGGTGGTGGACTGCTCAGGTCTGGGGACAAGCCACCTCCAGACAGCGACAACATTACCAGTTGTGGATGCAGAAAAGTCATGTGAAGACTAAGTTTTTGACAGTTGCTTAGAAAACACAAGATCCCCAGGTTCCATAAGAGAACCCAAGGCTCCAAATCTGAAGTTGGATACAGAGAGGAAACACATTTCAGAGTGAGAAGCGGTGAGTTTCAGATCTGGCCATCAATGATGGGATAATTTCACCCCTAACAGAAGTCCAGAAGGTACCATTCTTCTCATTCAGTGGTTAACACACAATGTTTGGAAAAAAAATTTTTCTGAAGTATCTCCCATAGAGAATCCTAAGATTTTAAAGGTAATTTGGAAGGATTTATCAGAATTAATTAATTTGTCATTTTAGTAAGAAATGCGATTTGCCTTTTTTTAAAAAAATGAAAAGTATTTTTTAGTCAGTGGTACATACTTGTAATCCCAGCACTCTGGGAGGTTGAGGCAGGTGGGTTGCATGTTCAACCCCAGCCCAAGTGATTTAGCGACTTAGCAAGACCCTGTCGCAAAGTAAAAATAGAAAAAATTGGCTGAAGATGTAGCTCACTGGGAATGTTTTCTCGGGTATTTTGTCATGGAAAGCTAACTCATTTATAAAATATAAAAACGGAATACTGTGCATTCACCGAGAAAGATAAGCAAGTCATACGTCATCTCTTTATAAAGTGACACAAGTCAGTGTCCAAAATATACTGTCAAATATATGGTTGTTTTGTAGAGACACTTATATTTGTATATGTACACAAGACCTCTGAAAATGAAGGCAGTAACTGGTAACAGTGCTGAAGATGTCGGAGGCTGAGTGCAAAAATGACTGGAGCTTTCTGAAAACATACACTTTTGAAGCCTTCTGCATTCTGTACTATATTCATTTCCTATTTTAAATAAATTTAAATTGTTTAAACAAACCAGAAGCCAAAAAGGAATGTGTTCATGGCTTTGGCAATGAAATATATGACTATGGATGAGGTAAAAGCATATGCGACAAAGTCACCTATCACAAATTTCCCTGATCAAAACTGCAGTGTGACAGAAGGCTTGACTCAAGGTGGGTCCTCCCCAAATACTTCTGGGACAGAAACTGAATTCAAAATATGATCATGTCAACATGTGTAGTTAATCACTTGGGGAGATGAGTACCACAGAGAGAACAATTTTTGGTTTCAAACAGCATGTCTGGACTTACCTTATTTTTTAATGGGCAAAAAAGGATATTAAAAATGAAAATTTTAAGGGATAATGCTCTAAAGTCAAAGACGGGAAGGTACAGAGTATTCCAACATAACCCCATAGCCCTCCCCATTTCCTTTATTTTTATTTTATATTAGATTCATAAGGTGCATTTGTTACAATTTTTTGTTCATTTGCTTTTTGAGACAGGGTTTCACTATGTAGGTCAGGCTGGCCTGGAACTCACGGTGATCCTCCTGCCTCTGCCTCCCAAGTGTTAGGATTACAGGTGTGCGTCACCACCCCCTGTTGTATTTGTTACAATTATTGTACCAATATGGATATATTATTATTGACTACAGTCCACAATTTACATTATATTAACTGTTGTGCTGTACAGCCTATGGGTTTTCTGTTTTAACCTAGAAAAGACCTTAAATGGAATCTTTTCATTCGTAAGTTCATCTTCTAGGAACATGTAGTAGGGATTCTGTTTATTGGATTAAATTGAACCAAGTTCAGTGAAAAATGAGCAGGAAAGTACAAAGGCAGATTAAAAAGTAAGAGTGTGAACTCTCCAATTATGCGTTTGATAAAGTCCTGGGATACACATTTCACTAGAAAGAATTAGATGGTTTATAATCTTTATCAATCAAAAAGATCATAGTTTTTTCTCTAGACATCTCATGACATAAATTTTCAGCATTAAAGATATGTTATTCTAATGTTTCCCTCAATTTGTTTAAGATGCATTAACTAGACACAAATTTCATACCAGCTTGTCCATAGATTTTGTTGTTGTTGATAACTACCATTAAGCCTGTTGTCTTTATTTTGCTCTTTGCAAGAGAAAAGGCAGACTTTTAAGATAGTTGTTCTCTTACAAAGAAAAAATTTACCCAGATTTATGAAATAGTAATTTAAAACTTTCATCTTAATTCTAGTAGTGAGAATACAGATTTGGAAACAAGATTGGGGATTGCTTTGAAATATTCTACCATGCTCATTATAGAACTGGTATAAGTATTGGAGAGTTTGGGAATGATATCCACATAATTTTCTCTTGGAAAAATTGCTTCATAGAAAATTAGGTGGCTAAGGGCTGGGGATTTAGCTCAGCGGCAAAAGCGCCTGCCTGGCAAGCGTAAGGTCATGAGTTCGGTTCCCGGTACCGGAGAAAAACCAAAAAAAAAAAAAAAAAAAAAAAAAAAAAAAAAAAAAAATTAGGTGGCTAACTACAAGCCACTGAAAATGGGTGTATGTGGTGCCTGAAACCTTCTATGGCAAACTCACTGTGGGACTTAAATCTCCTGTTCACTAATATCTCTTTTTCAGAAAATGTGGAAGTCAAGTTTCCTGTAAATTGGGTCACCCACTGATTTTGTGGAGATTTCCTTTTGTAATAGGATGTTGAAAGCCAGTGGCGAGCCTCATCTCCTCAGTTCCAAAGCAGCGTGTGTGTGTAGGGTCTGCTCCTCAGACAGGAGGGAGCTGAGCAGCTGTCTTGTGCACTCCCTTGTGTTGGTGACAGTAAGACGGTGCTGTTGTATTGTATCCAGCATTATTAATAACATTCTCTGAAAAATTAAAACTTTATTACATTTCTTGAATCTTCACACAGGGCTGAATCCTGAAGGTTCTGCTGCCTAACAACTTACATATCTCTAAAACCAGACAAAGTAACTGGTACCTCCACTTCTCTTTTCAAGTATGCATAGGGCAGTGCTTACAATGCTTCTCAAGTTGTCTCTGGCTAAAGACTAGATTATCTTTTCCATCTATCACAGATACTTCTGTAAAATAAATGAAGAAATTACTGGAAAGATACAATGATACTTAAGGAAGGGAAGCCCCAAGGTTTATCATTAGGTTGATGTTGCTCTTTAAAAATAACCAAGTGCTTCCCGTCACATCTGCATGTATCCGATCAGGGATGGCTGAACAGCAGTGCACAGCCTTCACTTGAGTGAATCTGTGTAGCCCAACTGTCGGCACTGTTTGCTCTCTGGGTGAGAACAAGGTTTGTGCACATAGAGAGGAAGGTATTGCGGTTACACGTGTTACCCAGGAGTGAAGTGTCTAAAGAGGAACTCTCTCTCCCAAAAAGCAGGAGTCTGCTAGAGACGAACATGCCAAAGGCCCCAAATAAATAGATGAAGGTCAGAATGAAGGTGCGGAGATGGATGAGTATGTATGCTTGTCTGCGTATATGCACACACGTGTATGCCTAGATATGCCTAGATATGTGAATGTAACAGTGTACACATGTAAGTACATGCATATGTATATGAATGTATGCTCTCCATCTGAGTGTATGTATATGTCTACATGTGTGTTTGTGCTTGGGAGTACAAGCAGGAATAAATGGGCTTGAGTATTTGAAATTGGCCTTCTAAATATGATGTTTCATAATGACCTAGGACTTTTTCTTGAAGAGTAACTGCAAACCATTAAGTGGAACAGTGCTTTGGTCAGACACATTTAACAGCAGCATTGAAGAGAATTTCAAGTAATAATTCCAAAATACCACTGGAAGCTGCAAAACTTCCTCAAGTGTCCCCTATATAGGAAGTGTATATGTTGAAATGAGGAAAAAAATAGGACAATATAGTCAATTCTTTAAATATACAAATTAATTCACTATAGAGGCTTTTGTTCTCTAGTTATTCTTTCCCTACCTTAGAAGCGTCACATTTCCTTAACAGAACACTAAAGTCAATAGGTAATAGTAAGAGGTTTTTAAAAATTTTATTTGGTGCTTACTTGTTACTACTTATAAAATAAAAAGATAGCAGCTTTTTTCAAAGATAACTCTAACTTTTAAAAAATGAACTAGTCTATGAGACCTGAAAGTTCAGAACCATAGGAAGATGATTTAAACAGGGATATACCTTTGTATTTTGTTATGGTTTATATCTAGATGCCCCCTCCAAAGCCACATGTGCTCACAGGAGGGGCTTTCAGGGGGGTGACTGGATCATGGGGCATGATATTCATAGATTACTCCAGGAATGAGTTCATATCAAAATGTGATGTTGGGAGGTAAAGCCTGGTTAGAGGAGGTGGTCACTGTGGTGTGGCCTGGAAGGGCCCTAACTCCTTTCCTCCTCTCTGATCTCTCTCTGCTTCCTGCCTGCCATACCATGGACTTTTTCTCCTTTCCAGTGTCCCTCTGCCATGCTGGACTGCTTTGGAGCCAGAAACTATCGACTGAAACCTCTTCAAACTGTGAGCCAAAATAAACCCTTCCTCCTATAGTTGTGGGTGTCTGGTATTGTGTTGCAGCAATGAGAAAGTAACTAAACAGATGTTTTTACCAGAAAATATACATTCCTTGGTCCATGGGGAAAAATTCAAGCATAATTAGAGTTAGTACAAGTATACATATTTTGAAAAACTCCCAAGTGCTTCTGAGATGCGTCCTCCTTTAGGATATCTGGTTTGGAGGAAGAGTTGGAAAACATCTAGT